CTGAAAATATGTTAAACGTTTATTTTGTGACCCAGAAAGAATAATAAGAGTAATATTAAAACTAATTAGCTGCCACCATTGTTAGAAACTGAGCTGGGCTGCGCTATGAATTCTGGGACACAGCTTCTTCTACTTTGGGGTTTAACGGCAGCTGGCATCCTTGTACATGCAGTGCTGCCATCTTCTGTTTCAGTCCATTATTACACTCTTAAATCCTACTACATATTCCTGCGTCTTTTGTGATCTTACAAAGCTTCAAACAAGGCCTCGACTATTAAATCAGTCGTAGACGATTTTGTAATCATGACTAGTCGACTAATCGTGGCAGCCCTAATGGATATTTGATATGATTTTTTATTCTAGTTTTCAGTTTTATTTTTCAAGCTTTGCTGAATTTCCTTTTTTTTTTTTTTTTTTTTTTAATTCCTTGGTGTTAAGGCCCCTGGCCTCGGAGGAAATGGCCGGCCATCCTGTAAGCGTGCCAGGACTCACAGATGATTGGCTGGCTGGGGACCCGTGCCCGCCCACCTGCATGTAGATTTTAATGTGCCAGTCCTCATAGACCATTGATTGCCTGGGGATTTGTGGTGCTCCGGGGACCAATGAAGCGACTAACTGTGTTCACTGTGGCAACAAAAGCCTGAGGATCCTCCACTCAGGGGGAGACTATGTTTTTGGACTGAGCAGGCAGGTTGTCCCTCTTGCCTCTGTCCTTGACGCCCGCTTGCCTAACTCAGGTTAAGCGTGGGAGTTCTGCCTGAGTAGCCTTGAGATGTGTTTCTGCCTGAGTGGCTAGTTTTCATTTGTATTTGAACGTGTGAGAGTGGTTTTGTGTTGTTTAATTGCCTAGTGATTTGCTGTAAGCTACACTAACAGTTTTCAGTTCTGTGTTAATAAACCCTGTCTAATAAACCCTTTTCTTATAGTGACCTCCCTTGTGATGGGCTCGTTTATGTTACCTTCCATGGCCCCAAGCCGGGTCGTAACACTTGGCCTACCCTTTTTAGTTTAGTTAATATTGGCATTGTGTTAATGTCATATTTGATATAAGCTACTCTGCATTTATTAAGGCTGTTGTGTGCTTAACATGTTTTAATCCTTTGTATCTTGTTTTATTTAATCTGAACAAGCACCTAAAAACAGACAGTGATCACTGTCGGCCTCTCTCGGTTTCATTGCCACCATTCATTTTAAAGTTCAGTTTTTAAAAACCTTAAGATGTAACTCCAGCCCAGCCCATTGTTGTTCTGCTAACTGAAGTTTGGTCCTTTTACAGCATCCTGCCATGTGATTACATTTGTCCCTAACCATCGGGAACCCTCACGTTAACCTTTATCAAGTGGAAAACGGTTAGCATTCATCTTCCAGCTTCACTGTGTTTATATTAGGCTAAGCATAGCTGTGCAGCTAGCCACCACGTAGCACATCATTATATACCAGCTAGCCCAACTTTAGTAACCCTACAAACATCACTGCTATTTAGTTTTCTCTCTTAATTTATGTGGCAAGTGATAGCAGAGCTGTGTGTTTTAATTTTTCCAGAAATCCCTCAGTCTGGGTTTGCGTGCCTCAGTGACCCTAAGAGCTACACTAGCATAAGCTTAGCCTTCAGTTGGACAACCCAAATTGGTCAGATCTTAGGGTAGATGCAATCCATTTACATGACAAAAACTGTAATCCAGAGCACCCCACCACCACCGCTCCCCTATCCCTTTCCCGCCTCTGTTGCCATCATGTGCCCCCTTTACATTTCTGTCTGCCCCCTCATGTATGCCTGTCTAGAACCGGCTCAGATAGCACTCCCTACATGCTTATTTATTGGTGTTGTGGCTGAATCTGGTTCCACTCACCAAACGACGGCCATTCTGGATTTTATGATCACTTGAAATCCCTCCTCCCATTATCTTATTTCACCTCTATATCATCTCTCCCGCCATCTACTTCTGTTCTCCTTTCACTTCCGTCACATCACTTTCCCGCCTGCTGTCCAGTCACAGCCTAACCGGCCAACCGCGCCCCTCCCCCTCCACTCCTGCTCTGCTGTGAGTTGTTGTTGTGTGGCCAAGTGACTAAACAGACGCCTTTGTTTGTTTGTTTTTGGTTTCCAAAACTTATAGAGACAGTGTAAACAGGTCCGTACAACAAATCTGCGACATTACCCACAAACTGAAAGGTTAAGAAATACACTTTATTAATCTTGTTATTGATACAGTATTTATTACAGGTGCTCCATGCATTCTCCTGCTGTATATCATTAAGCAGGGCTGCCCCTTTGTCACCGATTCTGTTCGTAATTATTTTTATGGACAGAATTTCTGGGCGTAGCCAAGTGGCGGAAGACTTTCACTTGGGTGGTCTCAAAATCTCATCTCTGCTTTTCGTAGTTGATGTGGTTCTTTGGCTTCATCGAGTGATGGCCTCCGGCTCGCACTGGAACGGTTCGCAGCCGAGTGTGAAGCGGTGGGAATGAGAATCAGCACCTCCAAATCTGAGGCCATGATCCTCAACAGGTGGTGTGCCAAAAAGTGATTGTCTGCCAGAAAGTTGCTTATAAAGCTGCAGCGTATTTGAATGCATATTTTCTTCCTCTCTGTTTAACTTTTACCGTCTTACCTCTGTGAATTCATCCCCTGCAGGTATGAGGAGGGCGGGGGGAGGAGGGCGACCTTCGACTGGCCTGCTGCCTTGTTATGGGTACAGTCTGCTGGAGGAGGCCAGAGCAGATATCCGCAACCTGTGAGTATGAATGGGAATCAATGAAATGGTAGTGATTCAGATTCCTTATGCTGGCCCACCAGCATCACTATATTACTCTGGGTTCTTGGCTAGCTTAGCGTTAGCATGCTGTCTGTGCAGGTGCTTACAAAGAGCCGAAGTTGTGTTAGCAGCATAATGCAGCTGTTTTTGTCCAGGATGCACGAGCGCAAAACCCGATTAGCAGGATCGATGGGCAAGCAGAATAACGATTCCAAACCGTTGGACTACTGGGAACCAGTTCTGTACAAGAACCAGTTCTTAATTTCTATCCTTACCTATGAGTCATATTTAAGGATATCATTAAAGGTAGTATTTTACCTCAGTTATTGAAACTACTCACAAATATTTATCGTGTCTTCTGAGCTCTGATCGGCACTGAAACAGGAAGATAACAGTAACTCAGTAATCTCCACAGAGCTTTCTTCTGAGGATTTGTAAATGACACTGAGAACACAGTTTTTGTAGTTTTGTCTCTTTATTCACGCTGTGAGTGAAGTGCAGACTCCCAGTTTTAACGGGAGGGGTTTAAATAAGGTTGTGACACACACAGTCCGTCATTTAGGCTCAAGAGCAGTGGCGGTCCTAGCCTGTTTGGCGCCCTGGGCGAAAACTCCCTCTGGCGCCATCGGGTGAGGAAGCTGAAATGTCACAGATTCTGATGCATCGGGTCCACGCTTTGTGTTTATGTCTTTGTGTGGAATCTGTTTATCTGCTCTCATGTGCTATTTTGACTGTTGGTGGTTGTTGAAATGAAAGCTTTAACCTGAGATTCTGCCGTTTCTGGCAAAATATATTTATATTTAAAAATCGATTCAGGATTTTAATGATTCAATATTGAGTTATTAAAGCTAGAATCTATTTTAATCGGAAAATCGATAATTGAAACCCAGCCCTACACCTGAGCTTTACCACGGGTCCTTACCTAGAGGCCTCCAGGTGTTGGCCTCCAGGTGTTGGCAGGCTATGCTAACGGGACCGTTCTTTCCCCAACAGAATCCGGTTCACAGTGATGAGCAAGCCTCCAGAGGAAGAGGAGCAGGAGAGGGAGTGTGAGGATGTGGGCGTGGCCTCCCTGAGGATCCCTGACATCCTTTAGAAACGGCGAGACATGACGGAGGAGCGTTTGAACGGTCAGCACGCACCGAAAAGATAACTACTTACTGATCAATCGGTAATCTGTGGCTGGTTTAAAAGAAGCTGCAGATGGTGTTTGTGTAGTCTCAGCTGTGTTTCAGCTTTTAGTTCATGCTTAACATCAGGAGCTTGTCATCAGTGATGTGAGTAAACAAAGGTCAGCGATTAGCTAATGAACCTTCTAACGATGGCTTCAGTGAGCAAACAGACATCAGGTGCA